AATCTTGTCATCATGATTCCAGGAAAACCACTAACGGATTTACTTCAAATTTTCACACATGTTACATGGTAAGATAGTTTTAACAGCTGATTGTTAACTTTTTGGCAGCGATTCCAGGAAAACCACTTAACTAATTTACTTCAAATTGTTACACATGTTACATGGTAAGAAGTTCTAGAACTGATTAACTTTTTGGCAGCCATCTTGCTTTCTGGGTCATCAAGCCCACACTGCTATTGTTTTAGGTACGATATTGTTCACCCTGTGTGTTGTCATATTACCACTGAATTTCAAAGTGAAAGTTTGTTATCACAAACTCAAAAGGTTCAGTGTAAGCTTTTGATCCAACCTCAGGTTTAGAATTGGAAATTAACATTATAGTTTCCACCTCTGGCACATATAAATCTTCTATCCTGCTATCTCCCTAGCACATTTCTATTCCAAAGATGAGTGTTATTTATTTTTATCCCACCCTCTCGGGGTCTTGATTTTATGTGGGAATTTCTACAGAACACTTGACGTATTTGATTTATCAAGAGAGAATATAAAATTTGAGAACCAATGTATCATTTTAAACAACAGGGAATTCCCAAGTTGCTCATTGACTTTCAGAGCAACTTCTTATGTGAGACAATTTTTCAGAAAACAAGACCTTCACAGTGAAAATGAAGCAACCCTCACCATGGAAACAAGACATTCTGAAGATCATAAACACTCTAGTTTATATGTTGATACATTACCTTGATGCAATGCTCTGACACATAGCAGATAAGATGTTCTTTCATTTGTGTGATAAACGTTTCAGGGAATTCTAGTCACGATTTTCAGAATGAATCTCTTGCAAATTGTGCTTAGTAATTGCTCCATTGGCTCACTTTTCTATGTCCTGATTTAGGACAAGTTTGATTGAAGTATACTCATACTTTATTATTCGCAGAAATCGCAAAAGATTCTAGAGAGCATTGGATCTTTTCTCAAATACATACTTATTATATACAGACAGACAGACAGATTATTAGTATGCGCAAAAAGCTGCAATATTAAGATGACTTTGTTTTTCTGGTCTCCATCCAACATTTGTGGTAATATTTCCTCTCATGTTATCTCAGAAAGCAAAAGTCAGATTGACTTCATATTTTGAAAGCTTGATCCATGGGATATAAAAATGATGGGTTGGTAAAATGTCAAAGGGTTTGTTCAGTCTTTGCAATGATTTCGCATGAGCTGTGCAGTATTATTTTGTAACCTCGTGTCATATTTATAGCTCTTGAGAAGTGCTTATTACCATCTTGTGTTGAGTCAGCATGCGTATGTTTAAATGTGTTCACATTATCATCATGGAAATTATTGTTGTTGTGCTCTGGACTGTTCTCTATTTCAAAGATGGTTCTGCATTAGACTGTGACTTAATGACACATGAAAGTTCTTTCCTCTCTTACCACTGCCCAAAATGGCCAATTGGGCCAATATAAATGAATAACTTGTGGTTCTACATTAGACTGTGACTCAATGACACATGAACGTTCTTTCCACTATGACCACAGCCCAAAATGGTCAATAACGCAAATGCGAGTAGGTAGTTACCAGTTTCACCACCAGGTGGCTCACTTGGGTCAGATAGCATGGCGGGTATAGTAGAAAGTTCCCTTTAACTTAAATTACATCTGTTTAATTAGTGGTTCAATTTTCATATTGCCCTTATGTATCGAATAGTTATGCAAATGAAAGTATGTCCAGTAAAAGAAAATGTTATATGTCCAATACAAGAAAAGATATTTTACTTTTTGTGATTTTTATATGGGGTCTATGGGGGATCAACCTGAACTAAAAGTCACATTTTCAAAAAAGATTAAATTTTCAAAGTTGATAAACAATTTTCGAAACCATAATTTAAGATGTATTTTTACATGTAGATTTCAAATATGACATCACTTTGCCTGAAATATTTAATGACGTAAATCAAGATCATTTCTACTCGCATCTACTCTATTGGGCCAATATAAATGAATAACTTGTAGTTATGCATTAGACTGTGACTGTAATGTATGGTTGATAGACAACACTTGTGATTAGACTCAGGATGCTATAAAATACATGAACATCTAGTGTGAATTATTTATTATGTGTTTCCTGCAGTTTATAATTTCTACTATCTTGTCTTCTTGAGTTATTGCTTAATTAAGGTTGTCAGTCAGATAACATCTTTAACCAAATCAAGTGGAAAATTCTGATTGTGTTCTCCATTTATTTAAAGGTCATATTCAAAGAAAATCAATTTGGTGATTGAAATATGCATTATCTTTTCTCAAATTATTATAGGAACTTGCAATTACACATGGCCCTATTTGCAACTTTAGGTTTTAGTTTCAATTAGCAATACCTGTTCTAGTTGGCCATCAAGTTTCTCAAAGTTAGAGACTACAAATCAATTCTTGTCATCAAAATTCCAGAAAAACCACTAAGCTTGAATTTTTTACACATGCAAGAGCAGATTAGTGCCAAGATTTATATGGTGACAATTTTGCTCTTTAATATGTGATAGTTGCAACAATAAATAGGTTAGGAATGCATGTTTTGATATATTTGCTGTATTGATAAAATAAACAGATTTTCCCAAAAATTTGGGAAATAATAAGTTCAAATATTCACGATAAAGGGGTCATTTTTCTGATTGTTTGACAGATTGCTTACTTTCTCGCCAGCCAGATCTGTGTGTGACAACGGAAATTTTCTGAAAAAAAAATCCTTCAAAACCATATTTTTGAAATTAAATTGAAAAGTTTCAAATATCACATTTTGATAACATTTGATAGGACTATAATATAAGCCAAAGTGGTTTAAACTTATATACCTTTAATGTATTTCCCCATGTGTTCCCTATAAACATTAATCTAGATACATAGACTCAAAACAACATAATTTATTAAAACAATAGCTGGTTAAAACTGGTTATAACTGGATTAGTATTTAAATAATGGACAAGATTATCTATCTGTGCATTTATTGCAATTTATTTGAAGAAACATTGTAAAATTATAATATTCACTTAACTAACCTTGTATGGCCTTGTATTTAATGATGTCTTATTTGACAAATTGTTTTCAAGAAAAATAATGAAACAAATCTGATAATCAACAAAATATAAATCAATCTAAATAATATATTATCATTTGAATGTTTAATTTTGCTTATTTGGTTTAGATTAGAACACTTATCATATTTTTATTTAACTTTTTGTATCACTGTATAATATATATGTCTCGCCTGGAATGTCTTATATTTCATTGTGTATACTCACTATATGATAACACTGAGTGGACTTGTCCATAGTGAATACACACTATATGATAACACTGAGTGGACTTGTCCAGAGTGAATACTCACTATATGATAACACTGAGTGGACTTGTCCAGAGTGAATACTCACTATATGATACCACTGAGTGGACTTCTCCATAATGAATACTCACTATATGATAACACTGAGTGGACCTCTCCATAGTGAATACTCACTATATGATAACACTGAGTGGACTTGTCCATAGTGAATACTCACAATGCGATAACACTGAGTGAACTTCTCCATAGTGGATTCTCACAATATGATAACACTGAGTGGACTTGTCCATAGTGAATACTCACAATGTGATAACACTGAGTGGACTTCTCCATAGTGAATACTCACAATGTGATAACACTGAGTGGACTTCTCCATAGTGGATACTCACTATATGATAACACCGAGTGGACTTCTCCATAGTGAATACTCACTATATGATAACACTGAGTGGACCTGTCCATAGTGAATACTCACAATGTGATAACACTGGGTGGGCTTGTCCATAGTGAATACTCACAATGTGATACCACTGAGTGGACTTCTCCATAGTGAATACTCACAATATGATAACACTGAGTGGATTTGTCCATAGTGAATACTCACAATATGATAACACTGAGTGGACTTCTCCATAGTGAATACTCACTATATGATAACACTGAGTGGACTTCTCCATAGTGAATACTCACAATGTGATAACACTGAGTGGACTACTCACAATGTGATAACACTGAGTGGACTTTTCCATAGTGAATACTCACTATATGATAACACTGAGTGGACTTGTCCATAGTGAATACTCACTATATGATAACACTGAGTGGACTTGTCCATAGTGAATACTCACAATGTGATAACACTGGGTGGGCTTGTCCATAGTGAATACTCACAATGTGATACCACTGAGTGGACTTCTCCATAGTGAATACTCACAATGTGATACCACTGAGTGGACTTGTCCATAGTGAATACTCACTATATGATAACACTGAGTTGACTTGTCCATAGTGAATACTCACAATGTGATACCACTGAGTGGACTTATCCATAGTGGATACTCACTATATGATAACACTGAGTGGACTTCTCAATAGTGAATACTCACTATATGATAACACTGAGTAGACTTCTCCATAGTGAATACTCACAATGGGATAACACTGAGTGGACTTCTCCATAGTGGATTCTCACAATATGATAACACTGAGTGGACTTTTCCATAGTGAATACTCACTATATGATAACACTGAGTGGACTTGTCCATAGTGAATACTCACTATATGATAACACTGAGTTGACTTGTCCATTGTGAATACTCACAATGTGATACCACTGAGTGGACTTCTCCATAGTGAATACTCACTATATGATAACACTGAGTGGACTTGTCCATAGTGAATGCTCACAATATGATAACACTGAGTGGACTTCTCCATAGTGACTACTCACAATGTGATAACACTGAGTGGACTTGTCCATAGTGGATACTCACTATATGATAACACCGAGTGGACTTCTCCATAGTTATTTACTTATTATTCTGAAAAGGTTTTACATGGGCAAGTGTGGATAGTTCAATTGCAACTCTTAGTATATAGTTATTTACTTATTAAACATCATTAGACATGATAATTGATGATATGTTTTTTTATATTTACAGATGTGTGATTAGTCTAACCTTGGTGCTATATTACATTGATCATGAACAACATATTTAGACACAACCAGACATACTAATCTAGTAAGTATTTTAATTATTTAATTATTTCGTGCTTGTTCAACTGCATACTCTAAGCATCATGAAGTATTTGATGAGCAATTATTTGCAAACGAATAGAAGAAATTAAATGAATAGTTGATTTTTTCAGCAGGGGAGCCATAATAACATAATTTGAATAAAGCGTCATAAGAAAACAACAGTCTGAATATGCTATCCCATTTTCAACTTCAAAGGCAAAAGAAGTGGAGATGATGTTATTGAAGGCAGTTTTAATAAATATTATACAAATTGATTTTAAGTAAATAAATAACAGATATTTGATGTTATATTATCATGATGTTCCAAGAAAATGGTGAGAAATTATGTTATCAAACCTAAGTCCATGCTTTATAAATCCTCTCTTCAATAATAAATTGATTAGACACTTTAAATAAATAAATAAATAAATGACACAAATTGTGTATATGTCAAGACAGGTATTTGATATTACAGCATGTATGTTAGGCTTTATATTGACAAAATGAATAGCAGGTGTATATATTTTTACCTTAAATAATTAGCTAATGCTTTACTGATCATGGAGGATATTTTATGGCCATATTTGGGTATTAGATGCATAAATATATGTTCTCATCACTTAGATCAAAATTAAATCCCCTTTCATATCATCACCAAAGATGGGTCATCATTTGTACCATCATCATTTGTACATTGAACTTTTTGGTGATACTATGTATCAAGTTTAGTGTTCTAACTCCAATTGGTCTCTGAGATATAGCTCTATTTGCGATATTTGTTGATCACCCCTTGTATAAGCGATATTTTTGATTTTTCTCTTGTGTATTGTATTCCTTGATCCATATATTGTTTACAAGGAAAACCAAGAATGAGAGTTATTAGAAACTATACATCTGTTCTGATAAAATTCATTAGAAATGTCTCTCTGTATTACAACTAATAATGAAACATGGGCTTATAAGTAAAAGAACACTGATTAGCTTGAAGTATGATAAAATAGATTTTAATTTGTAATGGGAAAATACATGCAAAATGTTAGCTCAAATCCAGGGTCGTTATTCAGTGCATTGTCCTTTAATTTTGAAGAAATGGAGAATCAATGACCTCTACCAACTGCCTCTAATACTGTATTCTAAATCAAACCTAATATATTTATATTAGAGATATTTGGAATGGCAAAGAAAAAACATGCAAATGTTGTTTAATGGCACTTACAAATTATCACCTATTTAGCTCTGACCATCAGTTTTAAAATCAGTATCATGAAGCAGTTGATTGTTCTATAAAGTGCTTTGCATGCTTCAGTATGTATCCAGCTATTTAAACTAATATTTCAAGACTTGCATTGTGTTTTATACCAATTGTCAGTATATGATTTCTTCAGTATTGTTACAATATTATAGTTGATTTTGGACAAGCTAGGAAAATTACCTAATAGACTAGATGGGAGTAGAAATAATCTTGATTTACGCCATTAAATATTCAAAATTCTTGATACATGTAAAAGTACATCTAAAAATATGGTTTCGGAGATTGTTTATCAACTTTGAAATTTTAATTTTTTGAAAATGTGACTTCTAGTTAGGGTTGATTCCCCATAGACCCCATGTTACAAAATCACAAAAAGTGAAATATATTTGCTTGTATTGGGCAAATAACATTTTCTTTTACTGGACATATTTTAATTTGCATAACTATTAAATACATAAGGGTTATATGAAAATTGAACCACTAAAACAGATGTAATTTAAGTTAAAGATCCATTATACCATAGGCTTCTCCCCCAGACAATCAATGATGTCCTATTGTTATTGCTCATTAATATCTCACATACCATGGATATATCTTGAGAATAACTTTTGGGTATATTATTGCCGAAATATTGAAATAATCAACAGAACAACCAAACTCCAGAATTAAACACAATCGATTTCTCAGCTAGCGAGGGAAATCCCCATTGAGTCACACAAGCGCCTTGAACCAGGCAGCCAATCAGATTCATGATAAACAAATTCAACGACCAATAAGATAACAGGAGGACTTTCCCGGTATATTCAAACTTCAGATTGAATCAATTTCTTAGAAAATAATTAGATCGGCCAGTACAATCGCAAAATTAACACTGAAAGAGGGAGAATTTGGACTTCGTCTTTGGTAAGTAGATGGGTGAATATATGTGGTGAAACTCAATATGCAAAAAGTCCAGAGGGGTCTTGATTGTGCTATCCTATGGCATATAGGGGCCTCTTTAAAGGGAACTTTCTACTATACCTGCCATGCTATCTGACCCGAATGAGCCACCTGGTGGTGAAACTGGTAACTACCTACTCGCATCTGCGTTATTAAAATAGAGCTCATGCGTGCTTAGCCATTGATTATTGGAAACAATTCAATTATAATACATTACCCAATAATAGAAGTCATGCATGCTTAACCATTGATTATTTTACCCTAACCCTACCAACATCACTCTACCCTACCTCATCCAAGCATAAAGATTACCATTTTTGACAAAAAAATTATTATAATTTTGGCGGTCTCAGTAAATCGCTGGCATCTTCATGGGGGCTTCTAACAGACCCAGAAATCAATGCTTGCATACATTTTTCCTTGTGGGATATTTTTCTCACCATATTAGCTAATGGGAAATTTTTGATTAGGACTACACGATCTCGATGGGCTGACATTTGAGAAATTATAATTTGTACTTTGTCAATTTTATATTTATCTCTATGAAAAAATTAGGTTGTTCTCGCCTATTACGGCATCTTAACCCTTAAATGATCAACCGCGCTTTCAAGGCGCGCTTTCCATACCTGTTTCCATTTGTAATAAGCAGACATAAGAAAAGTCGCGGGTTCCCCTATCCTAGCCTCGTTCTGAGATGTGACCTTGAACTTTCCATTCAGGAAAATGGAGTTTATTTCGAAAATAGTTCATTTTTCATCAATTATTTCAACAATTTTGCACTCAAAGACAGATTTTGAGTAACAAAATGGCGTCTAATGGATGTCGACGAGTGTATGTTGAAGAAGCATTGCATATTATAAGGGATGTGCCGGGAAAAAGTGATGATTCAGACTTCAATAGTAACAAGTAGTAGGTGAGTTTACAAATTTATAGACCAATTTATCGTAGCTGACATGCAATTACAAGGGGTTACACAAGGTGTTACAGATTATTTTGTGACACAGCAAAATCAGGTATATTTTTCGCTTTTCAATTCGATTTGATGAGCTACCATGTACCATACCCATACCAGCTCTCTAATGTACAATTTTATGTCATTTCTGAATAGTTGATGGATAGATCGAGCATTCAGAAAATACATAGTTTCATGAGCTTTCTGATGCTCTATAGGATTCTATATCAATTTACACACGGACAAACACATTTTTAAAGAAAATCTGAAACTTTTTATTGGTTTTGATCTTTTAAGGGTTAAGTTACATTCCCTGCACTTTTGATTCATCCTTAAATTTAAGAGAAACAAAGAATTAAAATAATATAAAACGTATAGCAGCTATGACACGATGACACGTAATCTAAATAACTTGAATAAGGATTTTGTTGCATTTCAATGTTAAAAGAAGTTACAAATTCCAAGTGAAACTGACCAGTGGCCTTGACATTTATGGGATTACTAATATGTATCTTGTATTGCCTTTAATCTTTACTTTCCTGTTTCATGTGTTCTCTATCTTTGTCTATAGGGGGTCTCTGGTAATAGGTAATAGGTGTCTATTAAGGAAGACATTTACACTGTCAAAGCCTAACAGAGCATAATCAAACCATGAAAAGGATCCGGGGATGACTCATTCCCCATGGCTGAAAATAAGAAGTAGATACTAGTTTGTATGTAAATTAAATGTCAGAGAAGATGATAGAATAATTATACTAGAATAGTAGAAAGAGTTAACATCTTGCATTATCTAACAGAATTTTTTTTATTTTAATTGATATTAAAAGGTATATTCACAAAATCTATTATATAAATATCTAGTAATTTGACTCTTGCTACTCACATACTTACTTGGCCTTAAATGTTAAAGTAGTTTGTGATGTTATATATTGAGCTTTCAGCATTTTTAGTTTTGAGACAGCAGACACTAATAAAATAGAATTCAGTGACAGATATTTAATTAAAATTGTTCCCTTACTGTATTACACTTACACATACAAGAGCTTTAGGATTTGAGGCATTTGAATCTGGAGTAATAGGGGGTAGAATAAGGGGGCTTATATGGTAGTGCTTCAATTACTTACAGGTGTTTTATGGAAGGTAAGACTCTTAATAGTTCATCATTCTATTGTAACATTGAAAATACATGAGTAAGACTCTAGTGTTAATCACAATTAGGTTTGCAGCATCTTCAAAAACAATCAGAAAAAGTGTTCAAAACATCCTGACCTTGGTATTATACATCTGTCTCTTCTCTACAGATTTTTCATCACTAGGTGCCAAAGTTACTTTTGCCTTTGAATTGAAATTGAGTTTTGTAAGATTTTCAACTTTTGATAAGGTTCAAACTTCAAGGTGATTTTTGGGTTCTCAACAGTATGTAAAGAGCTGTTCAATAGGGTGCAATATACAAAGTGATTTTTGGATTTAGTGTGTAAAGAGGTGTTCATTGTGTAAAGAGGTGTTCAATAGGGTGCAATATACAAGATGATTTATGGATTCTAGTGTGTAAAGAGGTGTTCAATAGGGTGCAGTATACAAGATGATTTATGGATTCTAGTGTGTAAAGAGGTGTTCAATAGGGTGCAATACACAAGATGATTTATGGATTCTAGTGTGTAAAGAGGTGTTCAATAGGGTGCAATACACAAGATGATTTATGGATTATAGTGTGTAAAGAGGTGTTCAATAGGGTGCAATAAACAAGATGATTTATGGATTCTAGTGTGTAAAGAGGTGTTCAATAGGGTGCAATACACAAGATGATTTATGGATTCTAGTGTGTAAAGAGGTGTTCAATAGGGTGCAATACACAAGATGA